GGCTTTGAAAAATTCTGTGTCCAGAAAAGAAAAAATTTAAGTTGGGGAGAGGTTTGGAGACAGTACTTTTGGTAAAGTGCCTTTCAAAAAAGCTTAAGAACCAGGGGGTGGATCTCTTGAGTCTGAGGTCATACTGGTCTACATATCGAGTTACAGGACAGCCAGAGCTATACAGAGAAACCCTGTCTTAAAAAAAAAAAAAAAGAGAGAGAGAGAGAAAAACAAACAACCAGCTTAAGAACCTGAGTCCAGTACTCAGCACCCATATAAAAGGCCAAGAATGGTAGCATGTGTTTGCCATTCCAATGCCTAGCAGGTAGAGGCAGGTGGATCACTGGGGCATGCTATCAGTCATCAGATGAGTGACCTAACAAAAAAGAAGAAAGAGCTACTGAGAAGGCTAATTTGGCCTTCATAAACACATGCATGTGCACCTACACACAATACATTCATATGTACACACAATTTCAGAAAAGGGAGTTGGCTGAAGAGATTTTTCAGTGGTTAACATTGGCTGTTCTTCCAGAGAATCTAGGTTTGATTTCCAGTACCCATATGGCAGCCTACAGTGGTCTATAATTCCAATCCCAGAAGATACATCCTTTTCTGGTTTCCTGGGCACCAGGCACACTTGTTTTGCACAGACATACATGTAGGCTACACACCCATACATACACAATAAATGTCTCTAGAGGGCCAGGAATGCAGTCGTTCACCTCAGGGTGCTTGCCTAGCTGTGTCAAGGCCCTGCTGGGTGTGGTGGCATACACCTTCAATCAGGCAGAGACCAGATTTATGTGAGTTGGAGGTCGTCCTAGTCTACATCGTGAGTTTCAAGGCTTACATAAGATCCTTTAAAAAGGGCAAAAGCTGAGACGTGGTGGTAGATACCTGTAATCCCAGCACTTGGGAAGTGGAAGCTGGAGGAGTTCAAGGTATCCTCTGCTACAAAGCTAGTTCTAGTCCAGCCTGTCCTATATGAAACCCTGTCAAAAATGAGGTGAGAGGCAATTGGGGGAATAGTTCAATAGTAGGGTACTTTCCTCTTGTGTGAAGCCCTGGGTTCAAGTCTCCCTTCCTTGAAAGAGAAAGTGCATTTCCATGTGCTATTGATGGTACTGATTAAAGGACTATGCTTTGAAGTGAGTGGTTTTTACCTTAGCTGCACGTTGGAATTACCTCAGGGGAAGAATGATAGCTCTTTCTTATCTCCAGGAGTTGATGTAATTTTTCTAGCATGAGCCTGGGTATTTGGACACCCCTCCTCCCAACTTCCCAGGTGATTCTAAAGTGCAACTAAGCCTGAGAATCAAAACTCTGTTCTTGAGGTCATCAGCATGCCCTGGGAGCTTGTTAGGAAAAGCAGAATTGGGGACCACCTAGATAATCTGCATCTAAACAAATCCATAAGGGCTTCCTGATAAGGCTAGAAGCAGCTCCACATTCAGGGTCTTCACAGGATAACTAAGCTGTACATGAATAACAAACTTGAAGGTATGGTATGGGGGTGTTAGAAAAATCTGGACGAATACAAGTTCCTAGATTTCACTTTCTTAAGTCTACGTGACCCTAAAAATGTGCATTAAAAAAAAAACTTATGTGAATGTGTTAGAATAAGTGCACTAGCAGTGGTCAGGTGATGGAGTCATAACCCTGGAACTGGTGTTATACAGGCATGTGAGCCACCATGTGGGCGCTGGGAACAGAATCCCGAGTCCTCTGCAGAAAAGGGTATCTTGGGGCTGGAGAGATGGCTCAGAGGTTAAGAGCACTGACTGCTCTTCCAGAGGTCCTGAGTTCAATTCCCAGCAACCACATGGTGGCTCACAGCCATCTGTAATAAGATCTGGTGCCCTCTTCTGGCTAGCAAGCATACAGACAAAACACTGTATACAAATAAATAAATAAAAAATCTTAAAAAAGAAAAAGGGTATCTTAATTGCCGAGCCATCTCTCCAGCAGAATACACTTTTTATAGGCCGTTTCTTCCTCTCGCTTCACGCCATTCTGAGGGGGTGTCCACATTCTCCTCAAGTTTGGTTTATTTTAGTTTCCTTCACCTAGGCAGGCAGAGATGGATCTGGCTTCCCAGTTCGTGAAAACGTGGTGCTCAAAAAGTTTTCAACATAAATCATTGCTCGGACTCATCATCTACTAATTCAGCCAAAGGCTATAGAGTGCTTTGTAAGTGTCAGATACTGAGAAATCCAGAGAGGGAGTCCCAAGTAAGTATTTAAAAAAAAAAAATCAGAATTTGAACAGAATTAAAGAGGCTCATTAAGCACTCTACAAGAGTGGTCAGGGAAGTTTGCTCCCTAAGAGAAGAATCCTAACAGTTCCAATAAGTAGCCGTTACAGATGTAACTGAAGTATGGGAAAGTGCAGTTTCTTCTGCAGCTTCTGCAGCAACAGATTCCTTGCAACACCAAAGGAACGGAGATAGAGGAGAGTGTCCCGCAGTTGGCTTGCTCACTTAACTGGAGGCAGGACAGTCCCGTGCGGACACTTTCTCAGTCACTTCTGCTGTGCATGGTGCTAGTTAAACTGTCTCTGATTCCGCCTTTCCTTCTTCCATCCAGAAAGCATTCTGAAAAGAGATATGCCAAGCATAGGCACTTAGGAAACTATTTAAATGAGGATCAGAAAACAGCCTGGATGGCAGGAATAGGAAAGGATGCTCCAGAACCACACCTGTCGGCAGCACCCTCGGTTAATAGCTACCCTATTGGCCAAACTGGAAATGGGAGGGGCCTTCTCGTCTAGCTCCGCCCCTTAGGCCTGGCGGCTCTTTTGATTGGTAAATAACTTGAGCTTAATACCCCCCCCCCAACCCCAGTCACCTGTCCGTCTCCCACTAGGTAAGTGGCCTTTAACACCCACTCTCCATGCCTTCCGTCGGTTTCCCCTACCCACTTCCATGACCAACCAATAAGTTCGAGGCAGAATGTCGCAACCAATTACAGCTGCCTTCAAACTTGACGGACGACTTCCCGCCCCTCGCCCTGACTCCTCCCCGCAGCCAATTGATTTAGGAGAAGGGGGCGGACGCATCCAATCAGTACGACACAGGCCTCCTGATTGACACTCGGGCCCTCGCGCTGGCGTGTTGCGCTCTGAGGCGGGGAGGAGGAGGAGGAGCCGGGAAGGAAAACCTGAGCCAATCCAAGCCAGCTGAGCGGGAGGCCAATCGAACGCCGCGCTCTGCAGAGATCAGCCAATCCGAGTGAGGGGGCCGGCCGCATCCTCCCTCGGAACCAATGGGACGCGCCTGACGGCCCAGAGCGACGTGCTGCAGGAGCAATGACGGACCTATATTCGGGGCTCGGGGGCGGGCCGGCGCCAGAGACGAGAAGAGAGGAGGGGAGGCCTCCTCCGTCGCCGCCATCTTGGACCGGGCCCGTTCAGCTTCCGTGGAGCCGTCGGCAGCCGCCGCCGGGCCTTCCCTTGAGCCCCGAATCCCCTACTCGGTCGTCCAGAACAATCCCGGGCCCACTTCCTCTATCAACAACCCAACCCCACTTCCGGCTTTCGCGCCCTCTTATCGCGATAGCGCCCGGGCTTGGGGCGCGAGGAAAGAGGAAAAAAAAAAAAAAGGCGGCTGGCGGGCGCTCGCCTCTGTCTCCCCCTCCTCGCCTGTCGCGATACGCTCCGCAGCGGCGGCGCCAGCTCCTGCGGTGAGAGCGTCAGGCTCGACTGGGCCGGACCCCTTCCCCTCTTCCCCCAGCGTCGTCGGCCGCCTTCCCGCTCCGCGACCCCTCCGCCTGTCGCGACCTGCCGGGCCCCGGCCCTGCCCTGGCCGCGCGCTCAGGCCTGCCTTCAGCTCGGGCGGGCGGGCAGGGAGCCTCCGCTCTCCTCCCGCGTCCCGGTTCCCGCGTGGCAGCGCGCCGGCCCCGGGTGCGAGGTGCCCGCCCTCCTCCGCGTCTGGCCGGTCTTGGAGCGATGGGCGCGCAGCGGGCCGGGAAGAAGCTTTGAGCTGTGGGTGTGGGGGGCACAACTGCAGTCATGCCCTCCCCGGGAGCTCCCTTTAGGAGCGTGGCCTCTGTGCACCTGAAAGCTCCAGTTTGTTGGTGTCTTGCTAGGGGAAAGCCTCTTTGGAAGAGATGGATCTGGTGGAGGAAAAGTCCCCAAGACCCGAGGTTGCAGCTCCCGTTGTGAGTTGGAGCCTAAGCCAAAGTTTCCACCTTGTCCTCACAGCTCTGGCAGTGAAGTCTCCTAGATGTCCCATTCCACCAGCCTTATTTTAAAGGAAGCATGTTTTTTTTAAACACTCCTTCCCCAAATCTTGGATTCAAGACTGTCCACCGTCTAGCTCACTTCCTGGCTTCAGGTCTTTTCCATCTTTGAGGTAGGGTATCAGCGGCCTCTAGCTTTGGAGATGCAAGCTCCACTAAGGCGCAAGCTGTCGGCCTCCCTGGATGTGGTTTCCTAGTGGTGTCAAGTCTACTGGTATTGCTGTGTGTGCTGGGAGCTCTTTAGCTCTCCTCAGCCTGTGCCGGTGGAATGTGAGCTTCTGAGCTCTCAGTTATTGGTATGCTATTGTTGGGGACAGTTGAAGCACCTCTTCTCAACAGCTGCATCTCAGTTCTTAGGATTCGTTCTCTCCTCGCTGTCTTCACCTTCTCCTCTCATCACATGGGTGGTTGTCTCCCTTCACTTCGTTCTCATTTCCCCGCCTGTGTGTATGTGTTCTCTCCCCTAATTGAAATACACTGGGGGAAAGCCTTGGACCAGAGCTAGATACCTACCCTGCAGGAATGCAAAGGTCCCTCGCCTAATTCTCCTGCTTTGCAAGGGGTGGCCTTTCTCCCTTTACTTGGGTTGTCTTTGTTGGGTAGTGTTGTCACCTGCAAGGTGAAGTTCCTGCCTTCTTTGGTATCAGCTTCCCCCTCTCCTGCATTTGAGATAGCTACACCCCCTGTGTACTTTGAGGCTAGGATACTCTTGCCTGGATAGTATGATTTACTCCTCTTGTGATCTTTCTGAGGGTCTACAGTGAAGGTTCTTATGCTGTGTCTGGGACTTGGGGGAGAGAACACTGTAGTCACTTTGCCTACAACTAGAGATTAAGGATGACTTTTCAAGGTGTGGTTCCTCAACCTTTGGTGTTGGACCTCTCCAGGGGCTACTATTACCTCTGACCAGAACCTACTTTATCCACCTAACGGAACCCCCATGTGGCCGTGCCAGGGTCCATGGAGGACCAATGCTGCTTGCCACCCCTCCTGGCTTTAGTGTGAACCCTCTTAGCTGCAAGATGCCTTGTGCTATGCTCCAAGATGCTTGTGTGGCCACTCCACAGCACCAGCCTTCAGGATTAATGTTATGCCCCTCATCAGGTCTGTGTATGTCAATCTTGAAACCTGTGGGGAAAAGTTCTGGAAGTTGTTTTGTTGACTCCTGTTGTGAGTCCTGATTTCAGGATGTGCCACAGTCTTGGACAGAGAGCCATGATTGAGCCTCCATCTGGGCCAAGAGGTCTAGCTTCCTCCACGCTGTCTGCAGCGCCTCACCATCTGTGTATATGTATGCTTTGTGTGAAGGTGCTTGCCTACTTCAAAAGGGCCCTGTGGTGATGCCTCCTAGAGAAGGGTCTTGGAAAATGGCATAGGCAGTCTTCTGTGGCAGAACCTATGTTTCAGACTCCAGCACTAACTTCCTTTCTGGCTTCTGAGGTGTGGGTACCCTGTTGGTGAGGAGTGTTTTTTGTGGAGAGAAGGTTAGTCGAGACTCCAGCTTCTAGAGTAGAAATTCCTGGGTATTGTGGGCCTTGTCTACTCTGGAACAACAGCTTCTTGCCAGGCAGAAACTCTTCTCTAATCACAGCTGTGCCCATCTTGATGACTGAAGCTTTACACCTGTTCTTTTTCTTTATTTGCTTAAATTTACTTTCATTCTATGTGTATTTTGCCTCCCCGCATGTAAGGGCACTGTGTATGTGCTGTCCCTGAGAAGCTATTGTTTCCCCTAGAACTGGAGTTGGGAGACCCATGTGGGTGCTGGGAACTGAACCTGGACTGTCTAAAAGAACAAGTGCTTTTACCCAAGACATCGCCAGCTCTTAAATTTTTTTTTATTATATATATTTTTAAAGTTGTGTTTTTGGTATGTGCATGGTTGGTATGACAGAAATGTGGGGGGGTCAGAGAAAAAGTTTGAGAAGTTGGTTCTTTGCTTTCACTATTTGGGACTTAGGGATTGAATCCAGATCACCAGTCTTCATAGTGATCTGACTTATCTACTCAGTCATTTTACTGGCCCTTAATTATTTTTTAAATTTATTTGTTTGGTTTTTGTTTGTTTTTTTGAGACTGTGTCTCTATGTAGTCTGAGAAGGCCTGCAACTCACTACCTAGACCAGGCTGGCCTTGAGATAGATCTGTCTGCCTCTCCCAAGGACTGGGATTAAAAGGCCAACCCTGGCCCTACATTTTGTTTGTTTGCTTGTGTTTATTTATTTGGTGTGTACAAGTGAAAGATGGAGATGGAATTGAGGTTGTCAGGCTTGGTTTATGCTGATCCCACTCACTGGCCCTTGTTGCCCCCTTTAGTATCTCTGTCATGTTTATGCTGCCACAGTCCTGTATTCTTACTGCAGGGCCTTATTACCTCCTCTCCTGTGCTTCAGTCCCAACTACTTCACTGTGAGATTAGGGTAGGGCTTCACCTCTTACGGTTGCAGTATCTGCCCAGAACCCTTCTGTAGGCTCTTGTTTAACATTCCTTCCTTCCTTGGTGTAAAAAGAGGCTTTTCTGTGCTGGTGGATATTAGAGCCAAGACTCATTCCTGGTCAAGATCCTGAACACCTCTTGCTGATTCCATGCAAGGTCCATGGACCAGAGAGGTACCAATTCTTTGGTCTAAGTGGGGTTCTTTGCTGAGTCCTTTTGCTAGTTGCTTTATCTTCCTTAAGATTCCTGGTTTATGGTGTGTCAGCCAATCCTCTCAGATAAGAGTGCTGTTTTTGTTTGTTTTGTTTTTGATAGGTCCTGTGCGGTAGAGATTTTAAGTTCCCAGGTGCCACCCATACCTACCTCTCCACAGAGTGGGATTCCACAGAGTTAATTTTTAAAATCCTTTCAGAAAAGGTGCCAACCCTATCCTCTCCAGGCCTCTTTTTCTAAAGCCTGCTCCATAATGCAATGTCCCTTGGAGTAGTTGCTAGCCATCTGTGATTAGTACAAGTGAATGAGCCAGGAATAGCAGTGCACTCTCTAACCTCAGCATTAGGGAGGTCAAGGCAAGAATGTGGGTTCAAAGCCAGCCTGAGGTGTTTGCTAAGACCCTTTCTTGGAAAGGGAAAGACTCTGTTTTTCCATTGCACTGGCTGTAGTACATTAAACTGACTCTGCAACATTTCTGACCTGCATGTGTTTTATTTAGAATATTTCTCTGGGTATTATTTTCCTTGGTAGTAAGATCCCTCGTTATGGCTGCCCACCAGGTTGAAATTCTTGGTTGTGGGAATAGGACAGTTTCTGCTTTTATGGTTGAGAGCTGCTTTGGGGCACCCCTGTCCTGTTTAGTCTAGTTCTCAGAGACTTGCTTGTTAGTATACTCTGGGCAGGGTGGGGCGGGGGCAGCTTCTGCTAGCAGTTCAGAAATCCTCTTCACATGACCCTCCCTCTCCGTGTTCCTCTGTTTCAGAGTCAAGTTTTGTAGTGTGGATTTCTCTACATATAGACCTCCCCTCTTCAGTCCTTTGTCCTCTGGCCCCTCTAAGCTCACCTTCCTTCAGAATAAAAAGAGGTGTCCCTCTGTGCGTTTTGGTTTCTGCCCTGTTGGGTTCATGTTTCTGAGTCTATCTGATCCGGAATTCTTCCATGTGCGCGGATCTGCTCTCTCACAGCTAAGGTACTTCTTTACTATCTTATCTTCATAAGTTTTCTATCTTCTCCCAGCCCTCTTTGAGGTGCTACTTCCTGCTCCCAAGTTTCTTATAACCATTTTTAATGTCAGACACTTCTGGCCAGAGACATTATCTTTTGGGACTCCAGGATTCTGCTGTGAAATAAATTTCTTGAAAGTGTGAGATCCTCTTGTTTGATACCCTGCTGTGTCCTTCATGAGCAGTCAGGTCTTCATAGCTGGAGAAATCCCCCGTCACTCTTCCCCTTTAGTTCACACCTGCATACACAGTATCTCATTCGTGCCAGGAGTTGCCAGCCTCATGTATTTCCAGACTTGCCTGGAGTGGCCTCTCCCAGTCACCTCTGGTCCCAACCCGTTTAGAGTCTTCAGTTAGGGTTCGTACCTCCATCTGAGCAGTCCACCTGTGTGCTGCATGTGCTGTAGTGTCATCTAGAGAACAGATGCTCTGTACTAAAGAAAGGTTTTGCTCCCTAACTCAGGGGCCCACAGATAAGATACAGCATTCTTTGTTTCAGCAATATCCCAGAATCCAATCTGCCCGTCTCTGTACTGGGCAATTGAAGGAATGTAGGAACAGGCCAGATCTTCCTTATCAGACAGGAAATGTAGCTGGGGATGTAGTTAGATGAATGAATGCTTGCACATGCAAGGCCCAGAGTTCTGTTAGGGAAGAGGGCAGGTAACTGTTTCTTCCCTCTACCATCCTACCTACTCCATGATTGCCACGATGTCTCTGGGTTTAAACTAGCCACAGAATATATGTTAAATCCTACCCAATTTTCCCCAGCAGCGTCCGTTTCCAAGGGAGTATGAAGAGAGTTCGTCTGTAGGGCAGGGAAGATGGCGGACAAGCGCAAACTCCAAGGTAATAGACTGCCTTCTGTAAATGTGACCGCAGGCCCTCTTTTCCGGCAACTTGTCTTTGGATATTTGCTGCCTTGTCAGGATCCTAAGTCTTCTTCTCTGTCTAGGTGAGATTGATCGCTGCCTCAAGAAGGTGTCCGAAGGCGTGGAGCAGTTTGAAGATATTTGGCAAAAGGTACATAGCCTAGAAACCTCAAAATCTGGGTCTGTGGGGAGAACCATCAAGAGGTTCAAAGTCTCAGGGTGTTGACCAGGGAAGCATCCCTAAGATCAACTATGGGGAGGGGGTCCCAGATTTCTCAGCCAAGGAAGAGACTGGACCTTTACTGCTATGGCGAGTTCTGGGCAGCTACTCTCACATTGACTGCTGAATTCTTCATCCCTCAGCTCCACAATGCAGCCAACGCGAACCAGAAAGAAAAGTATGAGGCTGACCTAAAGAAGGAGATTAAGAAGCTACAAGTGAGGGGGCTGGGGCTGGACTCTCTTTGTCCTGTGGGAGGAGGGATGGGGAGAGTGGACTGCTGGGTCCCAGGGAGAAGAGGTCACTGAGGGCCCCAGCTCCTGCGCCTGCAGCCTAATATTTGCTGCTTCTCTCTTCAGCGGCTGAGGGACCAGATCAAGACATGGGTAGCATCCAACGAGATCAAGGACAAAAGGCAGCTTATCGAAAACCGCAAGCTCATTGAAACGGTAAGAAATCAAAGCCAGGGGCTCTGTGGGGTGGTGGTATGATCAGGTTCCTGGGACGCTAGAAGGCAGAGCAGCCTTCTAGGAGCTGCCACTCCAGACTCCTGGGAAGATTAATGTCTCCACAACCAAGGGAAGGACAAAGATGAGGGCTCAGTCTAAGAGATAAGGTCCCCAGGCTGTTTGTAGCATTGCTGGCCCTTAAGAGCTCCTATCTCATCTTTGAGAGCTCTCCACCAACTGTACTCTCCACAGCAAATGGAACGGTTCAAAGTTGTGGAACGAGAGACCAAAACCAAAGCTTATAGCAAGGAGGGCCTAGGTCTGGCTCAGAAGGTGGACCCTGCTCAGAAGGAGAAGGAAGAGGTTGGCCAGTGGCTCACGGTGAGTTGGGACAAAGAAAGAAGTGAGCACATGGGCCCAGACTTAAGTATATGTCAGGGACTTGAGGACGAACCCCTATTCCCTTCTCTCCCCCCAGAACACCATTGACACCCTAAATATGCAGGTGGACCAGTTTGAGAGTGAGGTGGAGTCACTGTCGGTACAGACACGCAAGAAGAAGGGCGACAAGGATGTGAGTGAGGGGAGAAGCACACCCACAGGGTAGGGGTGGATGTGGCCTGTGTACAGGAAGCCTCTGGAAGCTTATGGGAATCTAGTTCTGGGTGCCAAAAATATATCTGGGGTAGAGATTGGAGAAAGCAGGATGGATGAGGCAGCCTAGCCAGCTGAGTGGTATAGGGAGGAGGTAAGACAGAATCATGGGATATTTGTCAGGGGTGGTTTGAGTTGAAGATAGACTTAGGTTCAGCAGGGACCACAGAGTAAGTGAGACATGGAGGGACAACCAGATTGGGAAGGTACACAGCACCCCAAAGATTCCAGGTTCTCCTTGGAGGTGGGGTGTCCCTGGGAAACCAATGGCAATGGTTTGGACCAAAGACATGTGTTAGAGTCCTGGATCCTACAGCTGTAGGATTATAGAGTGTGAATTGAAAGGACTGTATATTTGATGGTGTCACCAGAGAAGGAAGTTGGGATGGGAAATAAGAGATATGTCATGATTGGTGAGAGATTTGAGAATCAGAGAGGGACAGAGTGGGTGTCATTAACAAAAGGAGGAATTTGGAACTGGCACTAAGTTGTCGTGTGGTAAAGGGAATTGGAACCTTAGGAGGAGCAGGAGCTCCTCTTATTTATCCTTATTACTATTGCAGTGAGATGGGATGTAAGTTCCAGGCAGAGGTCAGAACAGTGGGGGAGGGCTGGGTGAGACTTGCTGACAGGTGAGCCAGATAGAGGCCAAGTGTAGGGCTAGCACAGACAACAACAGATTTCTAGGGATCTCCAGAGCCCAAAGGGGTTTGAGGAGGGAAAAGTGGGACCCTGAGATGCCATAAACCTCAGATTGGTCCTCACTGGGATGGAGGGTGGGCAGACTCCTCACTGCCCCATGCTAGGAGGGGCTGGAGTGGAGTTTTTGGGGTACCCTGGGGATGGGGGACTGAGGACAGGTTCTGTGGGGGCAGGAGGGCCAGGCAGGTGCTCTGCAGCCCCTGAGCCTGGCCCTGGGCTCGCCAGCAGAAGCAGGACCGGATTGAGGGCTTGAAGCGGCACATCGAAAAGCACCGCTACCATGTACGCATGCTGGAGACCATTCTGCGCATGCTGGACAATGACTCCATCCTGGTTGACGCCATCCGAAAGATCAAGGATGACGTGGAGTACTACGTCGACTCATCCCAGGACCCTGACTTTGAGGAGAACGAATTCCTCTATGACGACCTGGACCTCGAGGACATTCGTGAGGCCCTGGGCTGACCTTCATGGCACAGAGGGTGAGGGCAGGAGGCGTGGTTGAGCCAGCTAAGCATGCTGCTCCTCTGCCCCCACAGCACAGGCGCTGGTCGCCACCTCCCCACCCAGCCACAGCCACATGGAGGATGAGATCTTCAACCAGTCCAGCAGCACTCCCACCTCAACAACTTCCAGCTCTCCCATCCCACCCAGCCCAGCTAACTGCACTACGGTGAGGGTCTGGGGTTATTAATAACCTGGGTTCCCAAGAGGGTGGGCATGGGGATATCAGAAGCCCAATCTTCCCCTAGAGAGAGCAGTTAAGGAAGTAAAGTCTATAGGCTTTTTTTTTTTTTTTTTTTTTTTTTTTTTTTTTTTTTTTTTTTT